CAAGGGAGACCCGACAGGAGATTTAGACCTAAACATCCCAGAGCTGGAAAGCGCTCAGCCAGAAGGGTTTGCTTTGGGCCTGTCTCTAGCTGCCCATCACCTCAGACTTTGGTGAAGGAGCAGAGGCAGTGTTTTGTGGAGGAGCTGGGGTGGTAACAGCATGGCCTGGCAGCAGCAAACTGTCCCTGCACGTGATACACAATGGCCTACCAGACCTTTCACACTGTGTGCACCCAGCGGCTGGTGTTCTAGTTACACAGCTAATCCCAACTCACAGAGCGAGAGCTCAGATGGGACAGGACCATGGACAATGAGGCAGGATATCACAGGGCAACCACTAACTAAGCCACCTGACCAGGAAGGTACATTTGACTTTCTCCCGCTCCTCCTTGAGGTTGGTTACCCATTTGCTCCCATCCACATTTCATCCTTTCCTTTCCAAGGCAGTGCCGGGCTGGCAGCAGTTTCCACAGAGAGGAGTGGGGCACTGGGAAATTCAGCAGAAAGGGGCAGGACCTGAGGCAGAGCAGGAGCGGGTAACAACGGACACAGGGATACATATAAATATAAACCAGGACCTTCAGAAGGGTGCTGACCCCCTGCTCCAGAGCACAGGCTGATCTCAGGTGGGGCAGAGGGAAGCTTTCTGGGCCCTATGCCCCCTAACCAGCCATGGGTTTCTTCCTCTGCAGGAACTGGTACTAGCCACGGGCAGAGGCAGGAGGTCCGATCCAATCCAGCTAGTCCTTGGAGTGGGGGCAATGGAGGCTGTGGACACAGGACTAGGGCAGCTAAACATCTCCAGGGAAATGTGCTGTCATAGCTCGGGGCCACATCCAGAAAGCTGAGTGGACAACAGGTCTCAGCAGAGCCACCCACTGAGGGGTCTGGGCTAGACTCTCTGCTGCCCTTAGCTCCGGTATGAGGGCTGTGATGACAGAGCCCCCCGGCAGATGAGAATACAGCAGTGGAGCAGGCTGTTACTCCCACTTCCCCATTTCCTGACCACGAATGCTTTGCCCATCACATCGCAAGCCTGCAGAATCCCACCAGCTTGCCCCAGAGCCCCCAAGCCAAATTTAACCCTGGCAGAAGCCGATGCGTCTCCCCTGAATTAGCACTGGCTCCCATCAGCCCTGTCCCTCTAGGGCTGGGGAGGGTTGGGGGCTGCTTGATAGTGCTGTAAGCACCGCTGCGTGAGGCGCTGTTGACAGAGTGGCCCGAAGCCTGAAGCCACGGCCTCTTTCTCCCTTGGAGGGTGGGGCACCCGCCTCACCAGCTTATCAAATTTGGCCATGTCTGTTAAGCCCTCACTTCCTTTTCACCAAAAAAGATCAAAACTGGGTAACTGGCTCCCAGAGCAAATGCCTCTGAGCCTCCCTCATGTGTAAACAGCATTTCCAAGTGTTGATACAATGCAGGCTGCAGCCCAGGCACAAGCATCCCAGGCATTCCCCGGGCACACAGGACCCCAGAGCAGGGGCAGCCCTGTGCCTTGGGCAGCGGAGGAAGGGCAGCCGTGGGCACACTCGGCTCAGAGAGCCCCAAGGGCCTTGGGATGAGGGGATTCTTCCTACACAACAGTGGGGCGGACCATGGGAACGACTCCTAAACTAGTCTAGGTCAGGACAGGGGGTCCGGATCATGAGGTAGAGCCTCCAGGGGCTGGCCAGAGCCCCACAAGCACTGGGGGTTCAACAAACTCAGAGCATCCTCTTGTCTAGGCCATCATTGCCCAAATGACCTTTCCGCAACTGCTCCCCTCATCTCTCATCAAGACATAGCAATTGCCAACACCCATAGCCTGGAAACAGGCAGGGTGCTGGCTGGGAACCAGGGATGGGCAGTGACAGCTGCTGTCCTGGGGATTGAAGACAGCTCGAGATCCAGATTTTGAAGCCCTCAGAGTCCAGGAGAGTTGGTGCTCAGGCCTCTGGCTCAGCCCGTTGCAGCTACAAAGGCTGGTTCTGGTGGAGTTCAGACACTCCCTCCCTCCCCCAGACTCCAGCAGCATTTGAATACTGGGCCTAACAGTTCCCCCGGCTTTTGCGCATCCTGCAACGGTTTGGTACGAGGCAAAGGAGCTGCCCTAGAGTGACAGTGCCCATTTCCGGCAGACCTAGGTAACCACGGTGCTCCTGTGCGGTGCAGGAAGACAGGTCAGAGACAAGGCCCCATGCCCTGTCAGTGGTGACACATTGCAGTCTGTGTCCCCTCCTTCCCAGCAGGACTTCGAAACAGGCCAATAGACATTGGTGACCATGCTCATGGCTGTTGGGAGTAGCTGGTGCCCTCAACTGGTTGGTATTGCAGCTGCTCCGTTTAGTGTCATGCCTCCTGTACAGCACGGGGCAAGAGAGGAGCAGCACCGGTGCTTCTTGCGAGCTGGGCAAGTTCCACCATCTTTGGTGGTTTCCCTAAAGCCCCAGCTCCTGGAGTCACATGAACACGAGGATCTCTGATACACAGACACAAAGCTTTCATGCTGGCAGAGAACCAGCTAGACAGCACAGCCCAAACACAGCAAGCCTAAAGGCAAAGGGGAACCCAGTTTTGTTGCAGGCAGTTGGAGGAGGCCTGGCATTTTGAAAGCTTGGAGTGGGCCCTGCAGGTAGACTTAGGAGCAGGCTCAGAGCCCTTGGGGTTTGCATTCAGGGACGAGTAGCCACTGCTCTGCCTGGGTGCATTTGTCGCTGCAGCGTTGCTGGGATGAGGAGAGACCCCCTTCTACCCACCAGCCAGAGGCCCAGCACAGCCAGCTGTCCAACCATTTGGCTTTAGGGTAGCACCACCCTGTGGCAATGCTTTGACATGACAGCTCCCTGCACGCACCAGCTGCCAGAGCCCCTGCGGGGGAGCAGGGCCCTGCTATAGAGAGAGAGCAACAGCCCTTGTGCCAGGGCAGGTCCAGCTAGGAGCCCATGGGCACCCCAGGTCCTGGCCTAGGATTAGCAGCAAGGCCCTGCCACAGATACAACCCTCAGCACCACACAGCAAGCCCTTCTTCATGAAAAGACAGCTGGGAGGCCCTCTAGTCCTCTCCAACAAGGGCCACAAAACCCTGATGCACAAAATCCAGCTTCCTCCCACACCAACTCTTGCCTGCACCCATCTCCAACAACAGGCAGGGATGCGATTCTGGAGCTGTCAAGCCCGTACAGGACATGGGGTGTATGTGTGGGGCAAGAACGGGCCAGGAGCACTGTGCAAGGGGACCAAGTCAGTTCCAAAGCCAGGTGGGTAGCTGGCTCCACAACCTCTTCAAAGCTAGCCCAGCCCGTCTGCCCAATGCTGCTGCCACGAGCTGTGTCAACCACTATCCTCCCCGTGACCAATCTAGGGGCTGGTCTGGAAAGCCCTTGGGGCCTTTGAAGAAGGGGATCGAGGGGAAGCCACAAATGTGCATGCTGGGAGCAGCCAGGAATGGCACCACATGGGAGGCTTGCACTTCTCTGCATGGGAAGAGCCCAGGGCTGCAACTTTCTACCAACAGAAGAGCCACTGCAGCCTGAGAGAGCATGCTGGCACTGCTCACAGGAGAGACATCCAGCTGGCCCAGCAAGCATCAGTCCTCTAGGGCTGTCACCAGGAGGCACACCAGTACCGATTCCCAGGCACCAGGGACCCCCAGTTCTTCTGATCTGACCAAGCCGCTGCAAGATGAGCTGATGCCACAGCTCAGAAATTCTCAGCTGGACTCAAGTCCTCAACCTAGAGCAAAGAGAGACTCACTGTTCCCTTCCAGCTCCCAAGGAAGAGTGGTGGCTATGAGAGGTGGGAAATCAGCACCCAGAGCCAGGCCTCCAGCTCAGAGCGCCTGCTCCCAGTCCTGCATCCAATCCCTCCACCCACCACTTCCCAAAGCCCAGGCAGGCCCCTCCACACTGCCTGATGCCTGTCTCCAGAGGAAGTGGCCACCCAAGGAGCTCCCAGGGGACTCTGCTCATGGCCTGCGTCTTTGCCGAGACCACAGGTACTTAAGCAAACAGCCACGAACTCTCGCTGCCAGCAAGGTGCGTGGGGGTCATGGGGCAGCCACGTCCACACACAACCCCAAACAACACCGGCCTTTGTTCCCTCTGTCAACACCCCAGCTGGCACTTGGGGGAAGCTCATTGTGCTGCCAGACACACCTCCCAGGCCATGCAGGCGCTGGGGGCTGGGGCTTTCCTGTTTTAATCTCTGGCTCATCCTGTTCCCTTCACACAGCACTGAGGCATCTCTGGGCTGCCCTGCGGTGATGGACTGGACTCCAAGCCTGGTAAGTGCCTGGGCTGCTTGCTCTGGGGGCTTTTATTATCTACTCTGTATACTGGCAGCCGGTTGGGTTTGTTTGCTTTGGAGCTTGCCTGCCCAAGTTACTATTCCCCTAGCCCGGCTGGGACAGACCAGCCATGGCCCTGGGGATGAGCAAGAGAGAATGGCTTATGCTTCAAAGAGCTGCTTCCCTCCCCACTGTGCCCCATAATAGGGACCCTTTCACCCAGCACTGGAAGGCAGCTGCCTCTGGGGTGGGGCCCAACCAGACAGCACGCAGCACTGCTTCACAAGACTGCAGGGCAAGAAGCATGATCCCTGTAGCTAACGGCAGCCAGAACAGTAGGGACCACCACTACAAACAACTTTTACCACGAGGAAGCCAGCCTGGCCTGTCAGGAGGTGGAGAAGATGCTCCTGAAGGGAGAAAGTGGGGTGGACACTGCCAGCAGCCCCAGAGCCCTGAGCTGTAACTGGAGGGTAGAGGTGGATGGCTAAGGAGCTCAGCGCTGTGGCACACTAGACACAAGAGAGAGCACTTTGGGCATGGAGCGTGCCACAGACAGGGCTGGTACCTCTGTGACGCAGCTCCCAGGGGCTCTGGCCACTGCCTGGCAGCCCCTCTGGCACTGGAGGGAACAGGCAAAAGAAGACATTTGTCCATCTCCTCGGCATGAGGGGCACTGCCAGGAGGAGGGGCAGCTTCAGGGAACATGTACATTGTTTTATGTTTATGCCCCTTGTCCCAGAAGGTCCCTGTGCTCTGCGTGCTCCATACCTGTATGGATGCCCTACGCCCACACTTCAGAGGCGGTGGCATTCCCAGACAAACAGGCCACCCCACAGAGCCCAAGAGGGAGTGGGGAGGGAAAGGACATATCAGTCATAGCAGAAACCCAGCTTTCACGATGGCTCTCACATCCTCACATCATACATGCGAGGGAGGAATAAGGAAGACACTTACGTCCTCCCCATGAAATGGCACCCAGATCACCTTTCCTGGGAGAGGGGAGGGGTCAGCCATCCTCAGCAGGAAGGCATGCCACTGTCTTCTTGGCTCCAGTCAAGGCAGCTCAGTGAGGACCCTAGAGCTGCAGCCATCTCCTGGTCACACAGGGGGCTGACTCCCTTCCTCCCCTGCACCTTTCATGAGGACAGGTGCAACTCTGAGAAATTCCCCAAGGATTAGAAGTGCAGATTTGCAAAGAGACCCCCTGTGGCCCTAAACAGCCCCTTGAAGTCACCACACATTCAACCAGGACTTCCCATGGAGAACAGGAGACACGGGGCATGAAGGGTGTTACCTTCTGCATTTGCAGGCCCCTGTCAAAAGCTCTGTTTTCATTTATCTTGGGGAAAATCTTTCCAGCCTCACCAGCTGGCGAAGCCTCTGTAGAGTCTGTCCTTAGTTTCTGCACCAACTTCATTGGCAGCTGGGGCACTTGCCAAGACTAGGCAATCAGCCTGTCCAGCTCAGGAAGGGCCATCAGCAAACTGGAGATGCTGCCCAGCTGCAGGCTGAGCTAGTCGGATGCCCCACACAGCCCGCAGGCAGGGTGGGCGGTGGGGCTACCATCTGGCAAAAGAGGCCTATAGCAACATTTCACAACCCATGGGTCATGACCCAAAAGTAGATCGCAAGAATATATGAAAGGGTCGCAAACAAATTTTAACAATGGATCAACAGACTTTAAAAATGGGTTCTCCTTTAAAGGAGAAAAATGTGGGAAACTGGCTTTTCCCTTACAGGCTGAGTTCCAGCCTGCAAGGGGCTGCTTGAGGCCCCCATGTCCCCCCTCCCCACACACTGTGAAGCAGCAGGTCAGGAGTGAGGGGCACTGGGTCAAGACTGGTCAGTGTTTACAAATGGGTCCTAGTACAAAAAAAGGTTGAGAACTACTGGCCTACAGGACTTACCAGCTCCAGGCTCTCCAGCTCCTCAGGGCTATTTCCAAAAAGGGCAACAGTTGTTTTTTTTTTTTTTTTCTGCATTGCATCCACCTGCCTAGCTCAAAGCATGTTAGGAGGAGAGTCCAGATCACTACCCTCATTTACAGAGAGAGGAATCAAAGCAAGAGATTCAGGATCCCATAGCAAGAGTCACACAATAGGGAAAGGATCCCAGGAGTCCAGGCGCCATCTCCTGGCTCCTTTTGCTACAGCAGCTTGCCTCCCACCTGGAGGGTATGAGCCCTGCCAGGTAGAGCGATTCCTACCACTCAGCTACATGCAGCACTGTACCTAGTATCCTGGCAGCTCTGGGTGAACTTTTAGTATTGGGCCCCCCTTTGGCAGAGATAATGATAATAATAACAACAATAAAAAAAGTTACCATTTTCAGGACTGCTTTCTGTCCAGACCCTAGACAGCCACCCCGTTTGCCCATGCCTGTGTCCAGTTTTGGCTACATGCAAGAATCCCCTCTCAGGCACCCACATCCCAGGAGAAGGGTGGATTAAGCATGGGTCAGCACTGGGAAACTTATACCCTGTCCCACCTTCCTTTGCAGCTTCTGCTCTGTGCTTTCTCCTTGGCCTTCATGCCAGCTGCCCTCACAGAAGCAAAAGACCAAAGCAAAGCAGCCAAAGGAAGGAGAGGACAGGCTCGGGGCAGGGCCCAGCTCCCAGGGGCCCAGACCTCCCCCCCAGGCCCCAGGCTGAAGGCAAATGGCTTGGCCATGAATGATACATACACCATGGTGGAGGAATATGAGGAGAGCATCCAGGAGA